GAACTTATCAAATGGAAAGGGCATGAAACAGACTGGAAGGCAACAGGACTGGACGTATATGTTTATAATTAAAGAAGACGTTATATTAGAGGAGTCATCGATATCCTTACAGAGATATAATGAATAGAATACTCCAGGAAGGAGTTAGCGAAAAATTAGCGTATTTATCAGGCGAGCTCGGAAGCAAAAAGGAGACGATTATATCAAGGAAGTATTTTGAACAGGAAGAGAAGGAATCACAAGTGATAAGCCCTAGAGGGACAACCGGAAATCCAGAGAAGATATCTGTAGAGAGCCTAGTCAAACTAAGCATACAGCTACAGAACCTTGCGCACAATAGACCAGGAAATATGAAAATCGTAGATTTGACATTATGAATAGAAGTGTAAGAGGTACAATGGATACCAAATAGTTGATTATAGAATTCGTAATTTCCAGTATTGGACCATTGACTCGGTACATTCCCAAATGTAGAAGTTGGCCGTAAAGTGGAGGCTTTATTACGATATTTGCCAGGTACACAGGCCGAAATAATGTAAGAAAAACTATGATATTATGATAGGCTTTTGTTTCAGTTTGAGAATAAAAAAGAGGCCTGCCAGGAAAAGCCACTATGAATGGGTCATCTAGCTCTTGAGGCAGATCATGTGAAATGATGGATCAAGTAAAAAGGATAGGGTGGCAGTGAAGTAGTCACGAAACCTTCACTTAGCATAGCGGTAAGGTGGAAATTTATTCCAGCGGAAGTCAACCCTATGCGTGGTATAACTCATTAAAATTGAATTAAATGTCACGCCATTCTCTAAGAAAGAATCACCCCATGTAAATGAGCAGAGGAATCAGACAAAATTGAAATAATTTTCTCAAGGAGGTGAATTGTAATGGGAAAATGTACATGTTGACAATGCATGAGAAGAATTAAGGTTTTAATTATGCCGAATCAATTAGAACAATCAGCATACAATAATAAAATGGAAAAAAATATGCACGCAACGAAAAGTTTTATGAGAGCAAGAATGCATGTAATTTTGCCAGGAAAACTAAATTCATCAATTTGAGGGCGGTCATCGGCGTCAACGAGAAATAAAAGGGAGAAAGAGGTCGTGGCATTCTTAGGAATACCGTTAAATATGAACCGGGAAAATAGATAGGACCACTGAAATGTAATAGCAATCTCACGACCGTGGTTGGCCTTGCTTTCGCAACTTGATCGTATTTTTAGGGCGACTTAGTTGGGCGCACCTTGTCTGGAGCCTTTTGCTATAGTATTTATCATAATTCCCTGTATCGGAGCGTGGATGTGGTACATTCTCAGACGTTTCACCGGCCTCATAGTCGGCATCATCAGTGAGTCTTACCATTCTCAGCACCAAGCTACAACTCGTGAAAGAGACAAATGAGGTAAATAACTTGACCAAACGTTATGTCGAAAGTGATTGTACTATCACTCCTTTTCTGTCCTGACCCCTCTCTCCACTTCTTAATCTCCTATCACACTCCTGCCCTATCCCATAGTCTCCACATGAAATATAATGTGCTCGTGGAAAATCGTTAACGATATGAGGATAATGAGATTCCTGAAGGAGATATTATTGTGCAACTTGAATATAAGGAAGATTTACAGTACTAGCCTAAACTTTCTGAGTTTTGGTAGTTAAATAAAATCTGAATTTAAGAAATCCGAATTTAAGAATTTAAGAAAAGAAAATAAAGAATTGGAAATGCAATCGATAATATAACTCATACTATAGTGTTATCATCAGCCTCGGAAAGAAGCAGTGTGTCGTGGACGGTTTTAGCTGTGTCTGAACCCTCAACTCCGTTAGATCGAGATAATGAAACAGTTGGCGACGAAAAACCTGGCGAAAGGACGCTGAGAGGCCTCCCTCCAAGGCAGTCTTCTGTCAATATACTCAACTGCTCCTTCTTGGTGCTCGAGAGCAGTGAGGCTGGGGTGATCTGGTCCTGAAAATCTGGAAACTCCGGGGCCTCTGTAACATGCTTTAGGGAGTCTGAAGGCTGATGACTAGAGATAATTTTCGGGGGTGAAAGCCGAAGAGTAGATCTAGCTCTTGTATCGCTGACAGCACTACTGCTGCTGCTGCGACTACTACTACCACTACTATCATTGCTGCTGGTGGTGTCGGTCTGATGCGTACCTACACAACCTTCCTCCTCAACCGGGCCACGGAGGTGATGACTGAGACGCAAACGGGAATTAGTAACTTCCCGACTAAGTCTTCGAGACTCCTTAGGGAAAAAATCCACAGACGTAGCATTAAGACAACTCTTAGCTTCTGGGGGATTTGCAGCTATAATCGTTTTCTCCCTAGCTAAGAGTTCACATGGCTCAAGTTCGCAGTTCAAACTATCAAATCGCCACCCCAACTCATCGTTCTCTTCTTCCTCCTGAGGATTGGAGTTATTATCATGGCTTTTCAATACTCCATCTTGATTAGCACAAGAAACAACTTCTTGAGCAAATAAGGAACTTTCTGGCGCCGAAGATTCCGAGGAGCATGATTGGGTGGGTAGGGCAAAGATGGTAAAATTATGTTCAATATGACAGTGAAAAACCAGCTCCCAGGCGCTGAAGAAGGTGGCGCCACAGTAGGCGCAATCCAAAAATTCGGGCTGTCCAGCTGAAGATATAAAAAATAGATGAGTTCCTTTGAAGTGAAGACCCATGACCAAAAGTGAAGGCATAAACAATGTAAATCAAAAGGACTCAAAATGAAAGTATAAAGAATTCGATAAAGTATAGTATAAAAACATTAAGGTGGTTATATAGTTCTGTACAGTTAGCATGAAGAAAGGCCTATGAATAAAAATTTTCCGACTAAAACCACAAGTTCATAAGAATAGTGATGCTAAGGCAAATAAAGAATGGAGATTATTAAAGGATAGTAGATAGCCATATTCATAAGAAAAACCAAGTCAATAAAAATGGGTGGTGAAAATAATCAAGATGTATTTACGAATAAAAAAAAATGAAAAGACTTCGAAAATATTTACACCTTAACCAAGAGTCAATTAATTTATACTTTTGAAGGACACTTTAGAAATACAACCGCAAAATTACATTCATGAGCTCTTGGGAAATTGGCCATGTCCTTAGCAATTGAGCGGCAATTTCTATACCTCATTTCTCATAATGGTGCAAAACTTCTAGGTGCATAGAGCAGTTGTAATAATATCATTGGGAATTAAGCTGAAGTATGAATATGCCAATACTTTGAGAAGACTATACTGTCACTTCGCTCTTTGATGACAAAGTTCATATGAACTGTGAACATATGGATGTCATTACCAAGCTTACAGAAATACCCAGCTGAAGCAACGGCTAAAAAACGTATAATCGAATAAAAACAGTTTTAAATGGGATAACATTATTCATTCCATCTGGAATATTATGAATCGAATAGTTGATAAGAAAACAAGCTTATCGTGATTCGCTGCAAAATTGGTGATTAAATTGGCCACTGAAAATTGAAGAAAATGTCAGATATTGCCAGCTAATAACATTGTTAAAAATAGGAGATGTATTCACCCAATTTCGTTTAAGGTGATAAAGGACTGGTAGAAGAGTTTTCCCAATATGATATAAGTAGAGCTGACGTTTCAATTGAATTTCGCATAGCCTTGCTTTCCCAAAAGTTATTCTCATCCAGGGTGGACTGCAGTTTCGACCTCGCACCGGTCTTATCAACACCTCCAGCGGGAGTCGAACCATGACAGTGCAGAATGGGAGCTTGACACGCTAACCACTCAGCCACATTGCCACGAGTGCCTTTGGGTCACAGGACAAATGTGAATTTCAAGGAAGGCCATGCATTTTGCCATATCATATTCTTTAATGGGATTGTCGATGAAGCAAACGTGTATTTGCTATAACAATAG